GATTGTCTGCATACCCTTACGCTCAGAGACATATTTATGTTAAAAATATAATACAACACGACTAAAATGATTAGTTTATTATAATAGGTCCTATTTTCTTATCCGTCCAGGGGCGGTCGGGCAGCCTAGTGGTTAAAGCGTTCGCTCGTCACGCCGAAGACCCGGGTTCCATTCCAGTCATGGGTACAATGTGTGAAGCCCATTTCTGGTGTCTCCCGCCGTGATATTAATGGAATATTGCTAAAATAGGCGTAAAACCATACTCACTCACTTATCCGTCCAGTGTGTTGATATTAAAAAAAATAACATGCAGAAAAACGAAGGATTTTGAAATTTATTTTTTTATAACACCGGCTATATGACGGTGGTCTGTAAATAATCGAGTCAACATCTTGAAATCCATTGATTGATATCATGAGCATCGATCCATGCTGAAGACATATATATAATTAATTCGTAGGGCACCGGGGCCGACGCCCGCATGGAACAATGTTGTGACTGCTGTCGCACGGTTAGTTTGGTTACGCCGCACTCAGCAATATTCCAGCTAAATGACGGCGGTCTGTAAATAATCGAATCTGGACCAGACAATCAAGTGTTTAATATCATGAACATCGATCCACGCAATTGGGATCGATGACTTGCATCAACCATGTAAACGGGCCTGACCACCCCATCCCGTTAGTCGCCTCTTACGACAGGCATATCTCACCATTTACGGCAAGCATGGGTTGCTCAAGACCTATTCTATCCCGGATCTTCACACGGACACAATGCTTTGTCGCAGGATAAAGTATAGTCGGTGCCTTTGATCTTTTAGCAAAGCATCTTAGAATAAAAATAAAGACATATTTTACCCACGATGATGAGGTAGATTTCTTTAATCAATGAAGTAGGCTTAATTTGTTACCTCAACATACAATCTGAAACGAAATAAGGTAAGACGGTAGTAAGACTTGTAGATCTAGTATCACTCCACACTGTATTACCTTAACGTGATCGGCAGAAGCAGCCGAGCGCCAAACTATGCCCCTTCGCTGGTCAAGGCGTTTCTTGACTGGCAGTGAGATGTGTCACTCGTGTTAGGACGTAAACGGTGGGTAAGTTTCAGTTTGTACTTCAGAATTTTGTTAGGAAATTAAATGAAACTAACATTGTAAATATATCAAGATTGATGTACAACAGAATACATATTGAAGGAATCGGGAGCTTGCTTCACACACAGGACCATGTAACAATAAAAATATAATTAGCCTCGTCTATGATTTGTTTGCGAGTTTTATTATATTTTATTGTTACATGGTCCTGTGCTTCACACAATGTTTACACACAGACGTTTGTTTACCCTGTCACCAGGGATAACAAACGTCTGGATGTAAACATTCATACCTCGTTTCAACTGAAAAGCTTGTTCTATTTTAATCAGCAGATCTATATTGCAAAATATATGCTTGTACGTTTCATCTCTGAACTAATGAGAATTATTTACAACTGAGACTGAAGACAATTTGAGATTATTCTATATCTGTTCAGTCATGTGTGGGTTGTTTTTTTCGCTCATATTAAAACGTTGTTCTGCATCATAGAATGGCCAACTGTGTCAGCCATAGCATTTTCACACTCAAGGCATGCAGCTTTGTTCTTCTAATCCGGAAAATATTATGTGGAACAATTGTATATCTGCAGGACACTACATTGTTTTTAAAGAACGGCAAGGAAATGTAGAATATATAAGGGCAAATGTGCATGATTCTCGTTATTGTATGAGTAAGTTAGAACGGACGTTAAATGCGAAAACAATTTGGCGCATATCACACGGGCAATCGGCATTTCAGTCTTATCACTTTATAGAGCCACATGTTTATTCCCTTCTTTTCACAACCAAACACCGTATCAAACATCTTGTAGTGCCGGCGACAGTTTCTGGCTCAGATAGTAAGCTGATCTGTGACGGGTGTACTGCCGCCATCGCTCGGAATGCTGAATTATGACAGTGTTGCAAAGAGTTTTCCTGACACTGAATTACCACTGTGTTGCACACGCGCTTAGTCAACTAGACCTGTTTAGTTGCTCTTTTACATTCATTGTATGCCCCATTGTATATCATCATGAAAATGTCATCACTGAAATATTATTCTGTAGCATGTCGTGTATCGACATTTGTAATACTGTGTAGCCCGAGACACCAAACTACGTAAAATGCACCAGTTTCAGAGTCTAGTTAAGAGTGTGTTTGGGGAGGGTGGGGACTAAAACATCCAGCGAAGTCACTTGGAACAACAAATAATTTACGATAGGTCGCAGCACTCTACATTTAGTAGCCTGTTATCATCAATTGGCAAAGGCAATATGTACACAGAGAAACCATCAAGACAGTTGTCGATTTGACGATGTAACAATTGTGTAAAATGTCCATTGTCCACAGACGTTGAAATGCACGAGAAATATATTTTCCTCCAGAATTGGTGGGCGTCATATCCTGGTCAAAATATATGCCAAACTATGCCCCTTCGCTGGTCAAGGCGTTTCTTGACTGGCAGTGAGATGTGTCACTCGTGTTAGGACGTAAACGGTGGGTAAGTTTCAGTTTGTACTTCAGAATTTTGTTAGGAAATTAAATGAAACTAACATTGTAAATATATCAAGATTGATGTACAACAGAATACATATTGAAGGAATCGGGAGCTTGCTTCACACACAGGACCATGTAACAATAAAAATATAATTAGCCTCGTCTATGATTTGTTTGCGAGTTTTATTATATTTTATTGTTACATGGTCCTGTGCTTCACACAATGTTTACACACAGACGTTTGTTTACCCTGTCACCAGGGATAACAAACGTCTGGATGTAAACATTCATACCTCGTTTCAACTGAAAAGCTTGTTCTATTTTAATCAGCAGATCTATATTGCAAAATATATGCTTGTACGTTTCATCTCTGAACTAATGAGAATTATTTACAACTGAGACTGAAGACAATTTGAGATTATTCTATATCTGTTCAGTCATGTGTGGGTTGTTTTTTTCGCTCATATTAAAACGTTGTTCTGCATCATAGAATGGCCAACTGTGTCAGCCATAGCATTTTCACACTCAAGGCATGCAGCTTTGTTCTTCTAATCCGGAAAATATTATGTGGAACAATTGTATATCTGCAGGACACTACATTGTTTTTAAAGAACGGCAAGGAAATGTAGAATATATAAGGGCAAATGTGCATGATTCTCGTTATTGTATGAGTAAGTTAGAACGGACGTTAAATGCGAAAACAATTTGGCGCATATCACACGGGCAATCGGCATTTCAGTCTTATCACTTTATAGAGCCACATGTTTATTCCCTTCTTTTCACAACCAAACACCGTATCAAACATCTTGTAGTGCCGGCGACAGTTTCTGGCTCAGATAGTAAGCTGATCTGTGACGGGTGTACTGCCGCCATCGCTCGGAATGCTGAATTATGACAGTGTTGCAAAGAGTTTTCCTGACACTGAATTACCACTGTGTTGCACACGCGCTTAGTCAACTAGACCTGTTTAGTTGCTCTTTTACATTCATTGTATGCCCCATTGTATATCATCATGAAAATGTCATCACTGAAATATTATTCTGTAGCATGTCGTGTATCGACATTTGTAATACTGTGTAGCCCGAGACACCAAACTACGTAAAATGCACCAGTTTCAGAGTCTAGTTAAGAGTGTGTTTGGGGAGGGTGGGGACTAAAACATCCAGCGAAGTCACTTGGAACAACAAATAATTTACGATAGGTCGCAGCACTCTACATTTAGTAGCCTGTTATCATCAATTGGCAAAGGCAATATGTACACAGAGAAACCATCAAGACAGTTGTCGATTTGACGATGTAACAATTGTGTAAAATGTCCATTGTCCACAGACGTTGAAATGCACGAGAAATATATTTTCCTCCAGAATTGGTGGGCGTCATATCCTGGTCAAAATATATATAACGATGTGCATTGATCCTCACTCACAACAAATACCTAAGTATAATTTAAATATACAGTAATAACATTGCAGGCAATGCAAACTAGAAAACAATATTCAGTATTTGTCCTGTATGAGCGAAGTAGGTTTGCTATTCACAGTATTGATACTCAAATGCAGATATTATGCAACGCACCAACTTTCGGGGACCATTTCATTGTCATAACGATTCCACCCACAACTAACGGAGTCAGACTAAAATACTAATCATTCCATAATTGGGAATTAAGGGTAGGTAGCTGTTGTAATACCATGTTGTAAAGTTCCAACATAATAAATGCACATATTCTGTGTATTCTGTGTACATCAATATAAACTTACTTGTTTGGGCCTTAGTCCTCATAAAGGTAACATATAAAACCTTTAAAATGACATATGTCTACTAGCCTAGTCGTTATGATATCTGTACTATTGGGATGTTTGGCAAGGAATATAGGACGAGTGCCAATTTCTATCGCTGATGTAGTAATGTTCATTTATGTTGTATGTTGTATGATTATATTATTTATGACAACAAAATAATCTATTCAGTTCCTGCAACTTCAACCAAGAGAAGAGATATATCTCAGCAGTTAGCACAGAGGCAGTGTGCAGCTTAGGTTTATTCAGGAAGTGATTAAATAAATAAAAGCAATCTAAATCTAATAGATATAAGTGATTTCCAAAATGTGTCAGTCACCATGCTATGGTATATTAATAATACCTCTACTGCAACAAGTTATTATAAGTTATGTTCATGAGTGAATAAATTTGAAAGTCACAGATTTGTTGAAGGCAAAAGCTTCTCTGAGGCCAGTAGTTATAATGTTTACCTGCAATATATAGTTTTCTGAACAACATATATGGGGGTTTTGGGTGGTGGGTAGCCTTGTGGTTAAAGTATTCACTCTTCGCGCGGAAAAAACGGGATCGATTCCCCCACATGGGTACAATGTGCGAAGCCCATGTCTAGTGTTCCCCGCCCAGATATTGTTGGAATACTGCTAAGAACCTGTAAAACCCAACTCATCCAACCCAACTGAACAGCATATTTTGTGTTTCAGCCTCGAACGGCTCGAGTCAGGGAGAAAGGGCTGCACAGATGACGACAGTGACGACCCATGGTAGGTGGGAGAACCAAGCAGGTGGTAGATACTGTCACTGTCCAACTTTGTACGAGATGAGGTCAAATCAACATGTAACAAATATAAGCCTGAAAGTTCACTCCAAAAACCTTCATATGAACAGTCTCTACAATAACAAGCTGATAAATGTAGTCTCTTATTATCCTAAAAATTTCTAACAAGTCAATTGTATTGCCAGGACGACAATAAGGCTCAATCCAACAAGCCTGTACAGACGCGCGGCTCAGATGAACAGCAATCTCAATGTTTGTGTTGTATTTATGATAGAATCTAGTCGTTTGAGTGATTTGTTAGTCGCTAGACGACCTTATATTTATACCTCTACTAAGATGAATGGTTTTGAAATTGTATTCATCAGTCAAAATTTTAAAGACACACACTTTGTCGAAAATCTTGTATGTATAATGCTTATTTAGTTTGTATTGTTTTCTGAACAGCATGTTCTGTGTTTCAGCCTCGAGCGACCCGAGTCGGACCACGAGGACACCAGTGACGACCACAAAAAAGCCTGCTACACAGGGTAGGTGGGAGAACCCAGCAGGCAGAAAGCCCACACTTTAATCCCTCCAACAATTAACAAGCTGGGGTATAGACCCGTGGGGGTTCTGACTTGTGTCTTGCATGTCATCATATCCCTGTTGTGTAGATCGGTGCTCATGTTGTCAACCACTGGACTGTCTGGCTGTACCAGACTCCGCGATCTTATTGCTGGCCTACTGCAAACAAACAGACTGACAAACTCCAATGTCATGTCTTATAAGATCTATCTAATATTTCCAAACAGCAACTGTACTGACAGTATCATCTCATAAAGCTCAGTTCATCAAACGTTGACACTCTCCAGCCACACACAGAATAATGTTACAACAACTGTATGTAACAGGAAGATTCCAAACATTGACCACATAATCCTTGATTACATGAACCAGCTGTCGTCCTTCCCCTTGATCCTTGTGTTGTCAGCCATGTTGGAAGTGGTTGATGACGAACCGTGTCACGTGTCACCACGTTGAGGTGTGAACCATGTAGATGTATGACGAAGATGTCTGGAAGTGTACAGAGTTTACTTTGTGTTACAGCGACTCCATCACCAGCAGACTGCGGGGACCTCCATGACGCCAGCAGGAGGGGGAACCTGGAGGAGGTGAAGCGGATCCTGTCTCGGGGCGTGGACGTCAACTTAGGTGGGGAAGGTGGGGCCAGACACCGGTGATGGAGGCAGCACTGTATGGACAGAGAGACGTGGTGGAGCTCCTGGTGAGTGAAGGGGCCGATGTGTCACTGGTGAGCCGGGACGGTAACAACATCCTTCACATCGCCTGTTATAGAGGACACTTGGAGACGGTGAAGTTTGTGCTGTCTCTGCACAGGGTGGACATCGACGCCAGGAACAAATCGGGGAATACGGCGGCCGACCTGGCGAGATCCATGGGACATCCGCGAGTGGCGGATCTCCTGGTGTCCCGCGGCGCTCAGTGACGTCAGTGTCGTGTTTGTGTGGACGGTGGGGGATACCTGACAGTGACGTGGTGTGCCGTTCACGTCGTCGTGTGTACATATGTCTTTATTTACGTGAAACTGTTTGTTGTTTTTGGATGTGATTAAAACTTGTACAAACTTTGTCAGACATTTTGTCATTTGTTGTGTTTGGAAGTTCTCATGATCAGGTAAGAAAATTGTTAACTGAGTGTAAATAGAGACGATGTGTGATTGGTATGTAAGCACCGCACCTCGTGATATGTTCATGCATGTCGTCATATATGTCTGTGTTAATTTTATGCAATAAGTTTGTAATTAATCGTGAAAAACATAAACAAACCTGTTTGTTTACATCTCGCTGCACTCGGTGACCTCAGACCGAGCCAAGGTTCGCCCAGCTGACGTGGCGCCGAATGTACAATGACAGTGACGTCACACTGTCGATGACGTCACGGAATTCCAGCTGCCTGCTTTTTTCTCTGCTAATTTCGATATCGGTAATTCCCAGGGCGGCACAATGCTGGCTTCGCGATGTATGCAAGTACAGCACAGGCCTCATGTGATTAACAAATGGAGATATGTTGCATATTATTGATATAATTTAAAAATAAATATTTCTGATTGGCGAGATATTTATTTTCGAGATATTATAGAGAAAAATCAGTTTTCGTCATTTACGGCAGGCTATTGTTTGCATCGAATGTATGGCAGACAGACAGACAGACACACAGACAATTTATTCAATAAAAGGCCACTGGCCCAAAAAACACACATATGCAGGAATACATTAAGCCTGCGCAAAATGACATATTTACAAACTGGGAAAATTTACATTATTTAATTTTTTATTATACTTATAAATTCGCAGTGGATTATTTACTATTTACCCTAAGTTGATGAGATTGGGAAAAAAATACATATTTTATATAAGGTGTCATATGCATCTGAGGAAATAATAGAGATAAAGTTATGCTGAAGATTAGAGGTAATATTTTTATCTAAAAGTGCATTACGAAGGGAGCTGTATGATTCACAAATTAATAATAAGTCTTTCTTCATATGGCTAGGCATGGTATCTTCCAGTATTTACTGCTATTACTAAGTTACTTAAAATCCTTTTTAAGTGAGATGGAAGTGGTGAATTTAAGTAATATTCAACATTTAGTAGCGATTTAAAATGTTTATAGGAATGAGAGTCAGATAAACTGTTCATATTTACACTCCAGGTTTGCTGCAGGTTGTCAAATAGTCTCTGTTTAAACATGGAAATAAAAACAATTTTATCACCAACTCCTTGTGCTGCCCATGCATATCCAAATCCAAATCTGAAGAAAATATTTTTAATGTGTGTGCGACCAGGTGGTGCGACCTGAATCATCCAGAACAGCTAGGATCCTGTAACACTGATATATGGTAGTCTCTCCGGGCTCAGTTGTATTAGCCTGCAGGAGTACTTCACAGCTCTTGTCATATATGTAAGCTGTAAAGGAGCTCTACCACACTCACTAAGCACCATCACATTACATGTATTTCTTGACACTTTAAGAACTGATTTGCACACCGTAACTTGAATATCCTCATTGATTTTGCTGTTATTAACATCCCAGATTTCAGAGCCACAGCACAGGATAGGAGTTACACTACTATCAATAATTTTGAATAAATCTTTGCATTGAATATCACAAAGTTTCTTCTGATATCTATTTATGGCAAACACAGCTTTGGGATTCTGAGCAGCTAAACATGTTTCAGGCTGGGTCCACACAAGTTTGGGGGTGAACATAATTCCTAAATACCTGTAAAATGGAACAACATCAATGCTTTCACCATTATATGACCACTTTTCACAACTTCTTAGGGGACCACCTTTTCTAAATACCATTACCTTTGTCTGCTCTAGATTGACTTTCATACCAGTTTGTAAACAGAATAAGTGTAGAGCATCAATTTTCTTTTGTAGTTGAACTGCTGAATATGATACAGATGAAACATCATCTGCAAACATTATGGCAGAAACATTTTTAAAATCTTGTGATATAAAAACACCTTCTCCTCCACAGTCTTCAAGTTGAGTTAAAAGCTTGTTTATGCATATCATAAATAGTTGTGGACTCAAAATACAGCTCTGCCGAGTGTCAGTATTACATTTAAAATAATCAGTTAGTCCAGTTGAAGCCCCTACACAAGCACACAGACTTGAATACATTGATGAAATTATGTTGAACAGTTTACCCTTGATTCAAACATCATGTAGGCTTTTCAGTAGATTATCATGTCTTATGGTGTCAAATGCCTTTGAAAAGTCAACAAAGAGGCAGTAAAATCTCCCGTTTCTTCTCCCTGCATATTTGTTGTCAATAGTTGAATAATTGGACCTAAATCCTGCTTGTAGTTCATCAATTATGTTATTTTTCTCACAAAAATTCTTAAGTCTCCAGTTTATGATAGAGTTAAATATTTTACACAAGTTATCAATCAAGGATATTCCCCTGCAGTTGTTTACATCATGCTTGTCTCAAGACTTAAAAAGAGGGCAAATGATACTTCTATTCCAAGCATTTGGAAACACACCATTGTCAAGTATTTCATTAAAGAGAGCAGTCAATGTAGGTAAAGTTATATTTTTTGTATTCTTGAAATATTCAGAGACAATACCAACAGGTCCTGGTCCCTGTTCCACAAAGCGATCTTAGTGCTAATTCTGTCGTAAGTCTATGTTAAAGTATGGGAGTTACGATCATCTTAGCGCTAAGTCTGTCGTAAGTCTATGTTAAAGTATGGGAGTTACGATCATCTTAGCGCTAAGTCTGTCGTAAGTCTATGTTAAAGTATGGGAGTTACGATCATCTTAGTGCTAAGTCTGTCGTAAGTCTATGTTAAAGTATGGGAGTTACGATCATCTTAGCGCTACGATCACTTTGCGGAACGGGGCCCTGGTGATTTATTATTTGCAAGCTTTTGGATATGTTGTTCAACTTCTTGATTTGTTTTAGATTGATTTAATTCTTCATGTGCCGGGGTATCATCTGTTACATAATTATCTGTGTCCATTGGTGGAGGTAAGATGGGTTTATTTTCTGAGTCGAGGAGGGAAGAAAAGTGCTTCATCTATTCATCAGTTCTAATTCCAATCCCCATCACTGACCCACCACTCCCCATCACTGATCCACCACTCCCAATCACAAACCAACAACTCCCTTTCAGTGACCGACCACTCCCTGTCACTGACGGACCACTTCCTTTCACTGATCCATCACTCCTCATCACTGACCCACCACTCCCCATCACTTACCGGCCGCTCCCCATCACTGACCCATCACTCCTCATCACTGATCCACCACTTCCCATCACTGATCAACCACTCCCCATCACTGACCCACCACTCCCCATCACTCCCCAACACTCACCCACCACTCCCCATCACTGACCCACCACTCCCCATCACTGACCCATCACTCCCCATCACTGACCCACCACTTCCCATCACTGATCTACCACTCCCCATCACTGACCCACCACTCCCCATCACTGACCAACCACTCCCTATCACTGACCCACCACTCCCCATCACTTCCCATCACTGACCGACCACTCCCTTTCCCTGATCCACCACTCCCTTTCATTGATCCACCACTTCCATTCACTGACCGACCACTTCCATTCATTGACCGACCACTCCCCATCACTGATCCACCACTTCCATTCACTGACCGACCACTTCCTTTCACTGACCCACCACTTCCATTCACTGACCGACCACTTCCATTCACTGACCCAACACTCCCTATCATTGATCCACCACTTCCATTCACTGACCGACCACTCCCTATCACTGACCCACCACTCGCATTCATTGACCGGCCACTTCCATTCACTGACCGACCACTTCCCATCATTGATCAACCACTTCCATTCACTGACCGACCACTTCCATTCACTCAGCGACCACTTCCATTCACTCACCGACCACTTCCATTCACTGACCGACCACTTCCATTCACTGACCGACCACTTCTCATCATTGATCCACCACTTCCATTCACTCACCGACCACTTCCATTCAATGACCGGCCACTTCCATTCACTCACCGACCACTTCCCATCATTGATCCACCACTTCCATTCACTGACCGACCACTTCCATTCACTGACCGACCACTTCCATTCACTGACCGACCACTTCTCATCATTGATCAACCACTTCCATTCACTGACCGACCACTTCCATTCACTCACCGACCACTCCCCATCATTGATCCACCACTTCCATTCACTGACTGACCACTTCCATTCACTGACTGACCACTTCCATTCACTGACCGACCACTTCCCATCATTGATCAACCACTTCCATTCACTGACCGACCACTTCCACTCACTGACCGACCACTCCCCATCATTGATCCACCACTTCCATTCACTGACCGACCACTCCCCATCACTGACCCACCACTCCCATTCCTTGACCGACCACTTTCATTCACTGACCGACCACTTCCCATCATTGATCAACCACTTCCATTCACTGACCGACTACTTCCATTCACTGACCCACCACTTCCACTCACTGACTGACCATTCCCCATCATTGATCAACCACTTCCATTCACTGACCGACCACTTCCATTCACTCACCGACCACTTCCATTTACTGACCAACCACTTCCCATCATTGATCAACCACTTCCATTCACTGACCGACCACTTC